GGGTTTTTTTTTTCCTTTGAGGGAGTAGGGCTTGGGGACATGGAACCCAGTGGTCTGAAGGGAGGAGGGACTGGGACATGTGACCCCTGGGTCTGATGGGAGTAGTGGCGTGGGCTGGACCCCTGGGTCTGAGGGAGGAGGGGCTGGGGCTAGACCCCTGGTCTGAGGCGAGGAGGGCTGGGGACCTGGACCCCTGGGTCTGAGGGAGGAGGGCTGGGAGGACCTGGACCCAGGTCTGAGGGAGGAGGGGCTGGGGACATGGACCCCTGGGTCTGAGGGAGGAGGGGCTGGGGACATGGACCCCTGGGTCTGAGGGAGGAGGGGCTGGGGACCTGGACCCCAGGGTCTGAGGGAGGGGCTGTTCAGTACTGTGTTTCTGCCCTCAGACCCCTACGTGAAGGCCTCTCTGATCAGCGAGGGGCGGCGTCTGAAGAAGCGGAAAACCTCCATCAAGAAGAACACGCTGAACCCCACGTACAACGAGGCGCTGGTGTTCGACGTGGCCCCGGAGAGCGTGGAGAACGTGGGGCTCAGCATCGCCGTGGTTGACTACGACTGGTGAGGGGCGCGGCCCGGGCGGGGGGCGCGGGGTGCGGCCGCCATGGCGGCCCGTGCTCACCACCCCCAACCCCCAGCATCGGACACAACGAGGTGATCGGCGTGTGCCGCGTGGGCGCCGACGCCGCCGACCCGCACGGCCGCGAGCACTGGGCCGAGATGCTGGCCAATCCGCGCAAGCCCGTGGAGCACTGGCACCAGCTGGTGGAGGTGAGTAGGGCTCCTGCTCCCCTCTCAGCCCCTTCATTCGTGCAAAGCATGGCCTCTGGGCTGCGCACTCAGAAGGCCTAGGTTCGAATCCCTGCTCTGCCAACTTTCCCTGTGTGACTTAGAGCGAGTTAATTAACCTTTTGTGCCTTGTTTTCCTCAGTTGGGAAATGAGGATGTTGATAGCATCCACAGTTAGGATAAATGTGAGATTTGTTAAGTGTTCACTAAATGGTCGGCTACTGTTGTGATTACCCAATGCCAAGTCCGAAATAAAAGGGGGAAACTGGGTGGTAAGATGGAGCAAGGGTTTTTGATTTGGGGTTCTTTTTTAGAGCAGGCTGTGAAAAATTAGCTCATTTTCATATACTGGATGGGCATCAGCAATTTTCTTTTTTTTTTTGAGACAGAGTCTCACTTTGTTGCCCAGACTAGAGTGGCGTGGCGTCAGCCTAGCTCACAGCAACCTCAAACTCCTGGGCTCAAGCGATCCTCCTGCCTCAGCCTCCTGAGTAGCTGGGACTACAGGCATGCACTACCATGCCCGGCTAATTTTTTCTATATATATTAGTTGGCCAATTAATTTCTTTCTATTTATAGTAGAGACAAGGTCTCGCTCTTGCTCAGGCTGGTTTCGAACTCCTGACCTCGAGCAATCTGACCGCCTCGGCCTCCCAGAGTGCTAGGATTATAGATGTGAGCCACTGCGCCCAGTCTGTGTACAGTTGCTTGAAATACATTCACATTGTTGTGCAAACATCACCACCATCCATCTCCATAATTATTTTCATAGTGAAAAATTGGAACTCTGTGCCCATTAAACAACACTCTGTTCCCCTCTCTTTCCAGCCCCTGGCAACCACCATTCTACTTTCTGGGACAGTCTCTACAAATTTGACTACTGTAGGTGCCCTATGTAAGTGGAATTATACAGTATTTGTCTTTCTGTGACTGGATTGCTTTACTTAGCATAATGTCCTCAAGGTTCACCCAGGTTGTAGCACGTGTCAAAATTTCCTCCCCTTTTAAGGTCAAAAAATACTCTATTATATGTATATACCACATTTATTTTATCCATGTATCCACTGATGAACACTTGGGTTGCTTTCTTCTACCTTTCCGTTATTGTAAATGATTGCAGCTATGAACATGGGTTGCATATATCTCTTTGAAAAACTGATGCATTTTCTTGCATAGAAATTATACCTCAATAAGGTTGGTTAAAAAAAGAACACTCCTACCTGACATAATACAATCACCCCAGGTGCAACTGCAGAAGTGTTCACCCCATCCCCAAATGGAAAGTAAGCCAAAGCCACGTTCAATCCCCAGATCAGGATTTTGTAACATTGGGTATTCCTTTTATCAATGGAGCATGGAGTCTCTCTTGATCCAGAAAATTAATTATCAGTGAAAATTATAGCTGCCCTCAGCAACCTACCACAGCGGAGAAGAGTGGAGGGAGAACAGGGAAGCTATCATGATTCTCATTTATAAAAGGGGAGAAAGAAGAACAAAAATAGCATGGCTACTTGCTTGTATTTGTCTAGACTCTTCAACCTGCAAGTGACAGAAAACTTGCCCTTTTTTGTGACACAGAAAAATGCACAAATATCCAGTGTGTATTGCTCAGTTTACAAACTGAGCACAGCCATGGACCCAGCCCTGGGTCGTGGACTAGATCATGACAAGCTCTCCAGACTCCCCATGCTCCTTGGTGGTCACTCCTTCACCTGGAGGTTAATTACTGTCCTGATTTCTGACACCATAAGTCAGTTTGCCTTGTTTTTCAACTTCACAAAATGGAATCCCAAAGCATGTAGATGTGTCCCTGGCTGCTCTGATTCAGCATATGTCTGTGAGATTCATTCACATTGTCGCTGGTTGCTGTAGGATGTTCATTTTCATTGCCGTATAAGAGTGTATTATGGGAATATACCATAATTTATTTGTCTATTCTACTGTTGATCAACATTCTGGTGCTATCACTTATAGTGCTGCTAGGAACATTGCATTTTGGTGAACATATGTAGGCATTTCTGTTGGGTATAAACCTAGAGTGTAATTGCTGGGTCCCAGGGTGTATGTATGTTTGGCTTTCATAGACATTCCCAGTTTGCCTAAGTCACTGTCTCCACTTATACCCCCACCAGCAGTCTCTGAGAATTTCAGTTGCTCGCCAATTTTCGGTATGGTCAGTCTTTCTAATTTTAGCAATTCTGGCAGGAGTGAGCAGTGTTTTATAATATTATGGTTTTAATTTACTTTTTCCCAATGGCTAATAAAATATAATGCTTTTGCAAATATCTATTGGCCATTCGGATATCCTCTTTTGTGAAGTGCCAACTCACATCATTTTTCCATTTTTCTATTAGATTTTCTGCCTTTCCTAATTGACTAGTAGTTCTTTATATATTCTGCATGTGAGTCCTATGTTAGAATACATATTATTCTCCCACTCTGTGGCTTGTCTTTTCATTCTCTTAATGGTATTTTTTGATGAACTTAAGTTTATATTTTAATAGAGTCCAATTTATTACTATTTTTTCTTATAGCTAAGGTTTCCTTTGTTTCTTGTTTAAGAAATCTTTTCTTGTCCTGAAGGTTCTAGATATTCTATAATGTTTTCTTCTAGAGTTATTTTGTTTGTTTGTTTAAACTGTAACATTTAGATCTACAACCCATTTGGAATCAATTTTTATGTGTGGTGTGAGGTAGGAGTTATATGGCTATCTAATAGCCCAGGCCTATTTAATCAAAAAGATCATTTCTTTCCTCACTACACTGCAATGTTACTTTCATCGTAAACCAAGTGACCTTATATGTGTGATATTTTCCTGATTTTTCAATTCCATTCCTTTGGTCTATTTTTTTTTCCTTGTAATTATTAAAAACAAACAGATCAAAGCTTTAATTATTATTATAATAAGTCTTGATACCTGGTAAGTCCACTGGGTTTCTTTTTTCATTTTTTGACAAGAGGAATTTATTAGCTTATAGAACTGAACTTATCTAACTAGCTTCAGGCATGGCTGGACACAGGCACTAAAATAAATCGTCAAGAATATATCTCATTTCCTCAATGGGCTTTACTTTTCTGTATCTTGACTTCCCTCTAAGATAGAGTCTCTCTCCTCATGGAAGCAAAGGGAGCCCATAGAAGCTCAAGGTTTCCATCCTATCATCTTAGCAAGTTAGGCACCAGAAAAAAATACCTATTTTCTGAATGCTGACACCAAAGTCCCAAGATTAGCTTTCACTGGCCCAACTTGGGTCACATGTCCATTTCTGTACCAATCCTTGTAACCAGGGTGATGAATTACTTTGATTGGCCAGGGCTGCCACTTGTTCCCACACTTGGATCTCTGGCAGGGTCCACCCAAAGAACTTAATTTTTGCATAGGGAGGGATAATAGGAAAATCAGGGGGTTAAGAATAAAGAGAGAAGCTACAGATTCTCTCTTTGAGAGAAAATCTTTGCAAAACACGTATCTGATAATGGACTGGTATTCAAAATATACAAAGAACTCGTAACACTCAACATTAAGAAAACAAACAATCCAATTTAAAAGTAGGCAAAAGATCTGAATAGACACCTCACCAATGTACAGATGTACAGATGGCAAATAAGTATATAAAAAGATGTACAACATCATATGTCATTAGGGAACTGCAAAGTAAAACAATAATGAGATATAACTACCACCTATTAGAATGGCCAAAATCCAAAATACTAATAACACCAAATGCTGATGAGGCTGTGGAGCATCAGGAAGTCTTATTCATTGCTGGTGGCCATGCAAAATGGTACAGCCACTTTGGAAGACAGTTTGGCAATTTCTTACAAAACTAAGAATACTCTTACCATATACTGCAGCAATTGTGTTCCCTGGTATTTACCCAAATGAGTTGAGAATTTAACATCCACAAAAACCTGAACATGAATATTCACAGCAGCTCTATTCATAATTGTCAAAACTTGGAAGTAATCAAGTTGTCCTTCAGCAGGTGGACAAACTTTGGCGCACCCATACAATGGAACATTATTCAGTGATAACAAGAAATGAGTTGTGATAACAAGAAATGAGTTATCACACTGTGGAAAGACAAGGAGGAACATAGAATGCATATTGCGAAGTGAAAGAAGATAATATGAAAAGGCTACATGTGGTATGATTCCAATTATATGGCATTTTGGAAAAGGCAAAACTGCAGAGATAGTAAAAAAAAAAAAAAAATCAGGGGTTTGGGAAGAGGAGAGGATGAATCAATGGACCTCAGATGGTTTTTAGGACAGTGAAACTACTCTGTATGATACTATCTTAGTGGACACATGTCATTATAAATTTGTCCAAACCCACAGACCATATAACACCAAGAGGGAACCCTAATGTAAACTATGGACTTGGGTGATAATGATGTGTCAAGGTAGGCTCATCAACTGTAGCAAACACACCACTGTGGTTGGTAATGTTAATAGGGGAGGCTGTACATGTGTGAGGGCAGGGGGTATATGGAAAATGTCTTTACTTTCCTCTCAATTGTTCTGTGAACTTAAAACTGCTCTAAAAAATAAAGTCCATTTTTTAAAAAACACCATAAAATGTACACTGTACAACACAAAGAGTGATCCATAATAAAAACCACGGATTTTAACTAATAATAATGCATCAATATTGGCTTATTAATTGTAATAAATGTACCCCAATAATGGGAGGGGCGTGGGGAGGGGGTCAATGAGGGGGTGTATGGCAACTCTTCCGTACTTTTCCCTTGATTTTTTTCCTGTAAACCTAAAACTGATAAAAACAAAAGCCTATTAATGAAAAACAAAATCAGAGATAATAGATGTTAGTCAGGCAAAAACAACGGGTGTCCATTTCATAAGTCCAAGCTGCAGTAGGTGTCCATTCTAATAACAGTTTGCATATTTGGACATGATTATGCAGATTAGAAGAGATAATAAAGGCGAATGCTCTTTGCGTATTGAACTGTTTGAGAACACGGTGATAATTCCTGCACACACAATTTCTTTCCTCCTGTGATACAACTCTCAAGGTCTGGCTTTAAGATTTTGCGCTTATGGGAGAGAAGTAGCCAATCACGAGTGGATCGCCACTGACGTCACCAGTCTCCAAGGCCGCCGAGGCCCCTGCGCTCCGTGGCGGCCTCTGGCGAGAGGACAGGGAGCGGGTGTCAGAGAGCCGAGCCCGCCCGCCGCGCCCCGGTGCCAAGTCCCGCGCCCCTCGCGCCCCCTGGCGACCCAAGTCACTTTCCGTCCCCACATTGCCGGCGCTCGCAGAAGAAATCTGGTGAGGAGAGAGAGGGGCAGAGGACAGGAAGAGCTGAAGGCCCTTGTATCAGATACAAGCGC